TGCTAAATAACATTTGTCCGCGCCTTGTGTATATGCATTGAAGGTGGCATGAATTGGGCGTGGCGTAGCGCGACAGTCGTTTAGGTGATCTACCTCTTATTTACTCCTCGTCAAGCTAGAAATGAATGAGTACTCTTCGTTTTCTAAGACGTTTAACTCAAAATACTTCGTACTCCTTCTTTCTCCTTATTCCAGTTTTTTTTTGAATTATCCAAATGAAGCGTTAGTTATTATGTTCCGAACTACCAGCCTATCTGAGAGCTTGTGTGTATAAAGGAAACCCTTCTCGCATAATCTCTTGGTATCGAAACGTCTTCCTGATATATTGGAATAGCTATGCGTGAAGCTTGTAGCTTCCCAAATCCTTCAAAAATGTGTTCGTTCACTAGATTTCAACTCAAGCCATATTCATTCTTTTGTGGTAAATGCTGTGGGCAAACAGATTCAGATGTAGATTTGACAAGTAGTCGCGTTTGGCTATTATATCAAATACCTTAACATACATAGTTTCAGGCCGATGCGGATTTCTGGCCACCTACCGTAATCGTATCGTAACGCAACAGTAAGCGGTTAAGGTACGAACTCAAAGCGAATTATGTGGTCAATTTGCTAATGGACCAAAAAATGTCTTTGTAGGTTGTTTTAAAGTAGCGCCGAAATTATAAAGTGATTCTCCAATAAATTCCCAAACTCTCCTTCTCAACCGTTTAGTCAAAGCGTGCTCATCAACACCCGCTCTGCTGGGGAGCAGCGCTCTTCCCACGAATATAGGTTTCGCAATTGAGACTGTAAAGCATTTGCTTCTAACTTGCGATGTTTTTTTTTATTTTCTGCAGACTAAAAGTAATTGACTATGTGTTTTTGCGGTAACTTCATCCTGAAAGCGATAATGCAATGTGGAACTAAAAGAATTCTTAAGCCTATTGTTCACAAGAAATGGAGTGCGCCCGAGAAGCTTTACTACTATAGCAGCATGATTCCTACTATAATAAAAGATATAAAGAAAACCCAATTCTATAAAACTGCTCCGCAGTTAGTTTCTGTAGACAAAGTTTCGAGTATTATCGAAGTTTACAGCAGGCACCGTCCTATCCTACCTTTACACGTCAACAAAGCGTTGGCTCTAATATTAGCCAAAAGATGGTCTCCGATTGCGTGGGGACGTTAGCCTGCTGCTAAGCCAGAAGCGAGCGGCACCCTTCGCCCTCCTATGGTTAAGATAAGTATACAGATAGAAGAGAGTTATACAGACTGAACTTTCTTCACAAATCGCTGTTTTGCGGATGACATTGTTCTCTTTTTGAAAGTATTAAATATAAATGCAACTTCGAAAAATTGATGGAGTAAGAAAGTGAAAGATGTGAAAATAATTTGAGAGAGCTTTGTGTCGTTGTAATTTATCTTCTATAATCTGGGTTGCCGGATAAGTTCTGCCGTTTCTTTCAAATTAAGAAATAGTCTAGGAGTAAAGTTGAAAGTAAAACTTTTCCTCTATACAATATTCCACTTAGGAAATATAAGATTGTGATTGAAACTGATTTCAGAGGGCTAAAAGCCCAACCGACAAGTTAACTTACATGAATTATGAGGAGCCTGGAATTCACAACAGCGCTATCTAGTAGGGTAAATGGCTATTCTGCTTAAGAAAATTGTTGTCATTCCTGTATAATGGGATTATGATAGTGCCATGCAGGGTCCAATTTTCACATTTGCCTAAAAAGAGGTCTGCTTGGGTTAATTGACCTGTTGAATACAATATCCCATGGTAATGCTATTTCACATGGTTTACATAAAATCTATTTTTTCTTTTCCAGTAGATCATTGATTTTGACCTTACCGTCGTATATTCAACCTTTACGGTGAGGGCTTACTGTGCCTCGCGGTTATCATCTTTGTAATCAGCATTTCAATTAACCCCACTACATCGCTTCTCAGACATATCCGTGATTTTGACCAATGTAGCTCACCGTGATCCTACAGCAAGGCCCTATTGTAAAAATTGGATATGATTTTCGTAAACATAGTTTACCTCACTTGGCACTACAGCAATTTTCAAGCTTCTTACACATCAAAAAATCTTGTTGTTGCCACTCCTCTAAAATTTCAAGTTCACTTATTTTCAATTAAACAAAGCAGAAATCATCAATCAAACCAAGTCTACCTTTTTGTAAAAGAATATCTTTTTCTAAATTTTGTTTTAGAAAATTTTGTGTTTGAAAAAAAAACAGCTCATCCGAGTACCTAATATATAAGGTAGAAAATTTAATAATTATGTATATAATGTGCTTCACCTCTCCTTCGGAGAAGTTCGCACATTGCATTAATGAAGAAATAAAATTTTTTTGCAACGCTCTAGCAAAAAGGCATCCTCGACTATTTCACAAAAGCCATCAAATGCGCTTTTTTACGAAAAGATAAAAAGTTTGATTTTACTTTTAACGTTATCTTAATGAAGCGACTCAAAGACTAGTCCAACTGCTCTTCTCCCTTTGCGACAAGAAATGAAAACCAATGTTGCAAAAATTTCTCGATGAAGATTGATAACGCTTCTTTGACTTTGAAATAAAGGAACCGTGAGAGACAAAGAAACGAACATACAAGCAGACAAA